CTCTGCTGAGACCATCAATTAAGAGGACAAATAATGATTTGCTTTCCTGGCAATGGTGAAATAAGCAGCTACTCATGAAGAAATCAATTGGGAAGCTGTGGAGAGGGAAAGGATATAAGACCCAAGGTGGAAATGAGACCAGTGTGCAGGTTTCCATCTTCTCCTAATGACCACTGAGTCAGACACTCAGTGAGCACATTGATCCGTGCCCTGTGCCCATGTGTCCTCCCCAAACAGCCTGTGACCTTCCTCCAGCAAGGAGAAACTAAAGGGGAGGCATTTGGGGCTTTGCTCAGGGATCATCCTGGGCCCAGGTGTTTTGCAGAGGTGAAGAACATGTTAGGAACAGGGAAACGACTTTAATCATCTCTTCTTTTCCTTTGCAGCTGCTTAGGTTTGCTGCTGCTGAAGGGTTAGGGATTGATGATCCAAGACAGGTCATTTTGAAGCTCTCAGGGGCCGTGGGATATGGAATTTTGCCCTTCCTCCCTGTGCTGGGAGCAAATGCTGGCAGGGATGAGCTCTGGATCCTTTCCAGTTGCCATCAGGCACTTGCTGAACATGTGCTGTGTCTCAGCCAGATCTTTGTCCTTTCAGTCATTTGCTTTGGTTTTCCTTAATTATCTGCGAAGGACAACCCTGGGGGGATATAAGTGGTTTTATTTACACGTGGCCTTTTCCCTGCTGGGGCTGCATTGTTGTGGGGACTCCCAGCTGGGAGCAGGAAAGGAAGTGTCAGCGTTTAGGGCTGTGTGATGGATCCAGTGTGTACACTTTAAGCACCAGGGAAAAGAGGGTTGTAACAGGAGAGAGAACATGACAGGTTGAATCCCAGGCACTTTCAAGGCTATTTTTAAATGCTTTGTAGTGGAATTGGAAGCAGGAGGTCAGGCTGGAGCAGGAGCAGTGCTGATGGGTGTTCCTCAGACATGGATCTGCTCAGGTCTGGCTGTCAACACCTCTCTGTGTCCCTCTGCCCTGTCCTGCCTGAGCTCCAGCAAACCCTGCCTGGCTGCTCAGCTGCCACACAGGGGGGTTAGATGGGATAGTGGGAAGGAATTCCTCCCTGGGAGGTGCTGAGGCACTGGCACAGGTTGTCCAGGGAAGCTGTGGCTGCTCCATCCCTGGGAGTATTCCAGGCCAGGGTGGAGAAGAGAAGCTCCAGGGAGACCTTAGAGCCCCTTCCAGTGCCAAAGAGAGAGGAGTGGGTATATCCCTCAGGGATGGACAGTGGG